CTCCACTCTCAAGGTTTACGTGGCCGCCATCTCCGCTTATCATAGCGCGGTAGCTGGCGGCACCGTGGGAAAGCATAACCTGGTCATCCAGTTCCTTAGGGGTGCTAGGCGAATTAATCCATCTCGCCCCCCTCTCATGCCCTCTTGGGATCTCGCCCTCGTTCTCACGAGTCTGCGATCCGATCCCTTTGAGCCACTCGAATCAGTATCTCTAAGATTTCTGTCCCTGAAGACAGCTCTGCTGGTTGCGTTGGCCTCCATCAAGAGGGTCGGGGACCTGGAGGCATTTTCGGTCAGTGACTCGTGCCTGGAATTCGGGCCGGATTACTCTCACGTTATCCTGAGACCCCGCCCCGGTTATGTGCCCAAGGTTCCTACCACCCCCTTTAGAGATCAGGTAGTGAACCTGCAAGCGCTGCCCCCGGAGGAGGCAGACCCAGCCCTTTCTTTACTTTGTCCAGTTCGCGCTCTGCGCATTTATGTGGACCGTACTCAGAATTTTAGATCATCTGAGCAGCTCTTTGTCTGTTATGGCGGTCGGCAGCAGGGAAGTGCCGTATCGAAACAAAGATTATCCCACTGGATTGTGGATGCCATTTCACTCGCTTATTCGAGTCGAGGTCAGCCGTGTCCCCCGGGAGTACGTGCACACTCCACTCGGAGCGTTGCATCCTCTTGGGCGCGTGCACGCGGCGCCTCTCTAACAGACATCTGTAGAGCTGCGGGCTGGGCGACACCCAACACATTTGCAAGGTTTTACAATCTGCGAGTGGAGCCGGTTTCCTCAAGGGTATTAGGTAACCCTTTGGTGATTGAGGAGACAACTCGGTAGGGTGTTGAAACACGCTTGCTGCGCCATTCTCCCTAACACGGAGGTACGTGCGCCTTTTTTATCTGTCAGTAAAGTTCCCCGTCAGGTGAGCCCTGCAGATTCCTCCGTGGCCCCCAGCACTGACTCAGCGGAGGAGTCACTTGCTGGCCCACTACGTTGTAGGTCTGCCCGCTGGTCAGCCCGCGTTTTGGGTATAGGTGCCTGCTATGCGTGATCCCCACTAGGCGATCCCATATGCTTATTCCGCCACGGTTAAGTCCCCCCCCTGGGCGGACCCGTGTCTTCCCTCTCCGCTAACCACTCTTTGCTATGCGTACTCCCCCTTTTTAGGGCTAGTCCATAGGTAAATTCTGCCATCTATCCCCCCCTTGGGTAACGGATGGCCTCCGCAGCGTCCTCCCTATCGGGATTGCACGCTTCCCAACGTACTGTCGTATTTCCTAGAATTATCTAGATGCTCACGACTTCCCAAAAAATATATCTAAATCCGTAAAACTTCTGTTGAAGTAGGATAAATTAGGGCCAGGGACACGTTGGAGGACCGCGCCCCCCATGATGTGGGTGCGTCACGCTTGCTTGACTATCTCCTCATCGGGGGTGTTGGTAAGGTGCAGTCATTATGGCGCTTTCCATATTCTCCCATTCATGGCACTGAAGTTCCCCAACCGAAGGGGAACGTTCGAGGTTACAGAAGTAACCCTTCGTTCCCCGAGGAGGGGAACGGAAGTGCCATATTCCGTCGCCATGATGACTGTCCCTTAGCTGTTTGAAAGTCTCTTCAGCTTAAAAGGATGGCGTCTGCTGGCTTCAGGTGTGCTTATATGCTGAGATAATTGCAGATGTCGCACACCTGCGCAAGCTTACGCTGCCAATTAATTTCATTCATTGGCCCGTTCAATACTCTCCAGATAAGCGGCTTCTGATCCGAATCCTCCCATTCATGGCACTTCCGTTCCCCTCCTCGGGGAACGAAGGGTTACTTCTGTAACCTCGAACGTTTGGCGCGAGTTGTTGCTATTTTCAGACCAGCACAACCCCTAATATTCATGTTTTGTGCCACGTGTTTAAATAACCAATCCATTTGTGCCACTTCCTGGACTCAAGGGTGTGCTGGTCTAGAAAGGAGGTGTGTTAAGGCGCATTGTTGGTGCGTTACTCTTTTGAGGAATTGAAATAGACCACACAATTGACCAACTAAAAGCTGGTCTAATGTCCAGCGAAGTGCACTAGTTATGCGCAAGTGCGGGTCCAAAACGTATACACATTGCTTAATACGCACAGGATGTACAGAAATACACAAATATCTTTGCATATGAAAATATTAAAGGATTAATATATGTTACAAAAACGAATATTTTCTACATGAATATTAAAACCACTACCCATGCCTTCTTCTTGTCGGGGAGATTTTTTCAGTTTATTCATGACAATTTGCTATTATTATTAACAGTATTATTTATTATATGCATATTTATATTTTTTTTCCAATAAAAACAAGTTTAGATTTCTCCACCTGTTAGGTTTTGGAGACGTTTGCATCACCATATGGGGCAAAAGAATAAAAAGTGTGTTTGGATATAACGTTTTTATTGATTTGCTGGAAATTAGAACTGAATTTAGAAATATTTTTAAAACAAATCTTTGCGCTTAACAAATCAAATTAAATATGTAGGTTAATGTATGTCTTCAGTAGAGTGCGTACAGCACTGTTTCCTTTTCCACAAAAGTAAAGGAGTAAAGTAAAGAGTAAAAGTAAAGAGAATGTAAATATGCTAATTTAAGGAGGCTCATTCTTTATCCTCACACTGTAAATGGTCTGTTTAACTGTTTTCTTGCCAGTAAATCCTTCAGTTTTTCCACTTACAAAGTTCGCCATATAAATAGCAAATGCACCATGGCAGGACGCCACTGACTCTTAAAGAGAATGAGAGATAAGACTCTGATTGGTTTAATGTATGTTATCCTGAAACACACCCATAACTCATTAAGAGAATAAATACAACCCTGTTAGACCATGCGCCAGGGCACAAACTGTATTTCTTCATCCTTTAAAGGGCCATGAAACCCCCCGTTTCAGCAGGATGTTTTCACACCTCTAGTTTGGAAAAAGTCAGGAAAGTGGGTGTGTCTAGCTTTGTTTGGGTGGGAGTGTAGGAGCAGGAAAAATGGGCAGGGTTTGAATAAAAATGGGAGTTGCCACTTGGGCACGCGCTTCTGACCGAGTACAAACAAACACACATGCAGGAGAGACAGTGTGTTTAATGACAGTGGGATGTTTGATACCGCATGTCTTATAAGAGAAAAAAGCCTCTGCATTTCTCTGCAACTCAGATGCACTCAGGAGGTCAGAAAGCCGTGTGTGTGTGGACTATCCTGTCACAAAATGCAGCGAAAAATCAACACAACGGTTAGCAATAGTTTGCTTACAGTGTTCACGTGTTTACCCTCAGAGAGCAGCATTTACAGCGAACTTTTCAATATTGTAGTAATATTAACGTACTGTAAACTAAGTAACTTAAAAAATCATTTTGACTAAGGTCTGTCTGTAAACACTGAAAGAGTACAGCTGACCATACAAACTAAAACTTTGCCATCTGAACGAACAAAGAAAGGGCGCTGATCGCATATACTTACCGAACCTGTAGACAGGATAATCAGCACATACTGGAGCTGCGTCTTTTTTAAAGGAGACGAGCAGCATATCCGGATCTCACCATAGATGAGAAATGCTCTCGGGTAAAAAATGTCCCAAACGAACGCATTTCTACCGCGTGTCGCGTGCACGGATCCACACGTGATCCTAGCAGCATCTCATAGAGAGAAAATGAAAACAAAACCTTCACATTATGAAAGCAACACTGGCGACCTGTATCTCCAAACAACTCTTATTCTTTTCCCACAACTTTTGGCAACAGGACGTGTGTTGTCTCTCGGCCGTCTGAACACTGTTTTAGGTACAGTCTAAGAAAGCTAGCATGCATATTAATGAAGTTGCAGCGCATTCATAATGGAGCGCGCTGATTGGTTTGAACCAAGCCATGCTCATGAATGAATGCAACACACTCAGAGACGTAATACGGGACACCTTGGTACAGACGTCCAGTCCACATGCTGGAATACAAACTATTATCTCATGGTCGTGACGCAGCTTAAAAAATTCGTTTCAAACCGGAAGTACGAATTTGCTCGAAATAACGCAAAAACAACCAATTTTCACTTTTTAGTGAAATATATGTGTCCTAATAGTGTTTTTAGCAGTGTGGGACACATATACGACTGTCAACAGCTCAAAAAATGTGTTTTGGTGTTTCGTGACCCTTTAACATAGCAAAAGTGTTGTATCTGATGTACATATGTGACCACAAAACCAATCCAAAATGTTGCACAGATACATTTTTGGCAATAATTAAAAAAAAATTGCATGGGTCAAAATTATACATGTTTCTTTCAGGTCAAAAATAAGTATAATACTAAATACAGATCATGTTCCATGAAGATATTTTGTCATTTTCCTATTGTAGATTCAAATGTTATATCAAAATTTCTGATTAGTAATGTGCATTGCTAATTGCTTAAATTTCTCAATATTTAGATCTTTTTCAGATTTTCAAATAGTTATTTCTGGACCAAATATTGTCCTGTAACAAACCATACATCAGTGGAAACCTTATTTAATCAACGTAAATGTAATATATCAATCTCAATTTTCCTTAAAAAAATGGCACGTATGGTTTTGTGGTGTAGGGTCACATATTTATAGTGTATTTTATGTTTGTATTACAAGCTAAAGCTAGCAGGTACTATATGGAAGCAATAAATAACTGAGTAAGCAAGTAAGTATAAAATAAAACAATGAAATAGAATAAATGGCAAAGTCCTACTAATATAATTCTCAATAAATTTTAATGCCTATTCTAAAACCTAAATTATAAAAAAATAAACACAAACTTCATTTTAAGCCCTGATCTGTGAAAGCATATCTGAAGAAACACAAGTAAATCATTGCGTTTCATCTTGTTTACTTTAAACTGCTACACTAGCCCACATATTGAATTAGCTACGCATATATTATTTAAATGACCTCTGCATTTATTATAGGCTCGCAATGAAATTTTAACTCTGAGTTTATGCTTGCATAGAGCTAATCTGTCTGCTCTCTTTCTCACAGCCTTTGAAGATGCACTGCAGGAGCTGTGCGCTGGTCACTAGCTCTGGTCATCTAACCGGTGGGGGTCGCGGAAAAGAGATCGATCAGGCAGAGTGCGTCATCCGAATGAATGACGCGCCCATAGCTCGTGGCTATGGGGCGGACGTGGGTCACCGCACGAGCCTGAGGGTCATTGCTCATTCCAGCATGCAGAGAGTGCTGCGCAGCCGCCATGAACTTCTCAACTCCAGCCAGGAAACAGTCTTCATATTTTGGGGACCCAGCAGTTACATGCGACGGGACGGGAAAGGCCTGGTTTATAACAATCTGCGGCTTATGAACCAAGTGCTCCCCAAACTCAAGGTCTACATTATCTCCTGGCAGAAAATGCTCCAGTTTGATGATTTATTCAAGAGGGAGACTGGTAAAGACAGGTAATGGGCTCTTTATTACTGTATGTCTGAAATTGAATAGTTTGATAAGAAGCAAGTGTTAGGCAATGTAATGATACAGTCTAGGGCTGTGCAATATGACAGTGTACAGTTAGGTCCATAAATATTTGGACATCGACACAATTCTAACATATTTGGCTCTGTACACCAACACAATGGATTTGAAATGAAATGAAACTACTATATATGCTTTACCTGCAGACTGTCAGCTTTAATTTAAGGGTATTTACATCCAAATCAGGTGATTGGTATAGGAATTACGACAGTTTTCATATGTGCCTCCCACTTGTAAAGGGTCCAAAAGTAATTAGACAGATTAGTAATCATTAATTAAACTTTCACTTTTTAATACTTGGTTGCAAATCCTTTGAAGTCAATTACAGCCTGAAGTCTAGAACACATAGACATCACCAGATGCTTGGTTTCTGTCCTGGTGGTGCTCTGCCAGGTCTCTACAGCAACTTTCTTTAGTTCCTGCTTGTTCTTGGGGTATTTCCCTTCAGTTTTGTCTTCAGCAAGTAAAATGCATGCTCAATTGGATTCAAATCAGGTGATCGACTTGGCCATTGCATAACATTATACTTTTTCCCTACAAATCTCTTTGGTTGCTTTTGCAGTATGCTTTGGGTATGGGTAAAGCTGACAGTCTGCAGTTAAAACACATGTTGTTCAGTTAATTTCAAATCGATTTGATGTTGGTGTATAGAGTGATAAATTTTAGAATTGTGTCGATGTCCAAATATTTATGGACCTAATGGTATATTGAATAGACAAAATAAAAAGTCTGTTGTTTCATATCGTAGTTAGCAAAAAAAAAAAAAAAAAAAAAAAAAAAAGTAAATAAAAATAAATAAATAAGAAAACTTTATATATATATATATATATATATATATATATATATATATATATATATATATATATATATATATATATATATATATATATATATATTTATAATATATTTAATAATAATAATATTCATAAATATTAAATATTAAATTAAATATTTAATATTTATATAATATATTATATAAAATATTTAATAATTATCATTACGAAATTATATATATTACTGGATGTCTTTTTATAATGATAATTATTAAATATGTTTTTACAATCCATTTAGGAATATCATTTTTTAATCACATCTCTTACGTCTTAACATAAACAAAAGTGTCAAAGAGACTTCTAAACTTGATAAATAAAATGTTACAAAGTGTGTGCTATGGTAAAGTGTAAACGCTGAACCAAGGGCGTGGATTTGCTCTTAAAATTGGTGGGAACATACATTTTTTGAGCTGCACTGAACAGCAAAAATTCAGTTTTGCACTTTTAAAAACATGAATAAAGTACTTAATATTATAAAATAAGTGAAGTTTCACAAACTAATTTCGAGAGGAGCAAGTGATATGATTGACTGCTGCTGGTCACCCATTTACAATCATTATTTAACCAATCAGATTAATCCAAACTCACTATAAATAGCCTAGCTAGAACTACTCCCTTAACAAACAATACTCAAACAATATCTAAGTGTGAACTGTTGAAACAATAATGTCCCATGCTGCAAAAGTCAATTTACGTGATTTTACTCCAGTCAGGCTTTGAGGAGATATAAATGTAGAGAAACTTAGAGAGGTATGTGATGCAATTTAACTGTTTTATCCCAATTATTGTTTCTCTTAATCAAAAAAATCAAAACCGACCTTCGATTAATTACAAAGCCTTAATTAATAGTATTACGGTGAACTCGTAACGAACTTGATGAAGCATTATTTTATTTTGAAGTTGATTCAGTTATTGTTAGGGACATTTTAAGTAATTGGTGGATATTGGTAGGGACATGTCCCCTTCATCCATGCCAATTCTACCCCATTGCGCTGAACAATCAAAGCAAACTTAGATCAACATCTGTAAGATGTTGATAATAATCATACAGTAAACCTCAAACTTTGTCAACAACACAACTTCTTCAAGTAAAGGAACTAACCATAATTATTTAAATACATATTGCAACATTACAAATTGTGAAGTTGAATGACTATATTACTCCCTATGCTAAAAAAACTCTTTTAGATGGGGTGCTAGTGGCTGGATGCACAAGAAAAGGAACTAAAAATCCACTCTGGCAACATGCATATCTTGATGTGAGATTTGTGTAATATCGCACAGCCCTAATACGTTCTAGGGCTACACATTATATCATTTTAGGTGTGATGGGAGATAAACTATAATTTGCTATATGCTGGTAAAAATTTAACACACAATTAAAAAAAAATAGTCTTATAATACGAATAATAAACCCTACGATCAGTTGTTGATGATCCTGTTTCCAAACAGATTTTATGAGATATATAATCTATAATCTATGCTTGTAAATGATTACATTTCATCCAGGATTTACTTCCCTACAGAATCCTCCCTATCAATCTAACATAATAAATTCTTTGCAAATAGACTTATTCAATCTATATTTGTGAAATAGTATTCATATCAAAATTTACAGTATATTGCAGAAAAAAAAACTATGTTCCAATATTGTGCAGCCCTAATACAGTCCAGAATATAATGTGCTGATACCTGCTTTGATCTTACACTGTATAAAGCTTCATATTTTCAGGTGTAATTTTTGAGCTGAGATGGGTCTGCAAAACATGATTAACCAACAGCTTCCATTTACATGATTGTGATACCAGATGTTTTCATCAACGTGCCAATGTTATTATGCATGGGTCATGGCCTAATTTTGATGACCTATTTAAAAAGGTGTTTAAAAAAGGGAAAAGATTATGCGTCCTAGAATAGAGTCTGCAGAGACTATTCTTATTCCGCATTTACAGCTCCCTGAGAAGACCAGACTTTTTTTCCCCTCCTTTCAACTAAAGGATCGCATGGGAAATCAGTTTGTGCGGGATTCCAGATTTGAACATTAAGCCAAGATCTACACTTAATCAGAACAAAAAGAAGCTTAGTGTGTATTCTCTACATGATTCCATATATTATGGCGACCGATTTTCCCCACACAAATAGTAATACCAGTAGCTTTGACCTTCCCAATTACAAATCATAAAGACTGAGGTAAATAAAAATAGTGTACAATGTTTTGTGTGAGGGTTGTGTTTAGAGGTAGGCTTAGAGTAAGGGATAATTATGTCTATAGGAAGTGTACACATTATAAGAGTGTGTATGTATATACTCGTTTATCTGGATTACGTTTAGGGGTTGGGTAAGGCCATATAATAAGCATTTTTAAAGGATAAACTACATTCTACTATGGAGTTCTTGCAAACCTTATTATTCAAGTGTGTGTGTGCATTTCTGTGGATCAAGTGAGGCAGGATATAGTCCACAGAATACAATTGAAACCAGAAGTTTACATACACTATGAAATTGGCACAAAACCATTTAAAAAACTCAGATGTTATTGTGAGTAAACTTTTTCTCTTTTAGGTAAGTTAGGGTTAACAAATGCGTTTCTGTTATGCTTAATAGCAAAATAATGAGAGATTTTTTCTTTTTTTTTTTGAGAAATTTTTATAACTTCTCTTGAAAGTCAAGTTTACATACAATAAGATTATAATGCCTCTGAAAAAGCTCAGATGATGGTCTCAAGGTTTTGGAAGATTTTGATTGGCTAATTGGCAACATTTGAGTTAATTGGAGGCACAACTGTAGAATAGTATTTAAGTAAAACCTCAAACACGCTGCTTCCTTGTGTGTCAACATGGTAAAATCAACAAGCCAGAATCAACAAAAAAGCCAGATTACAAGTAGCTAAACTACACTGAGAAAAGGAATAATTTTTAAAGACATGTCCTGTTGTTTGATGGAACTAAGATTGAACTGTTTGGCCATAATGACCAGTGTTACATTTGGAGGACAAAGGGGAAAGCTTACAAGCCTAGGAACACCATCCCAACTGTGAAGTATGGGGATGGCAGCATCAGGTTGTGGGGCCGTTTTGCTGCAGGAGGGACTGGTCCACTTCAGAGCATAGATGGCATCATGAAGAAAGAACATTATGTAGAAAAACTGAAGCAACATCTCAAGACATCAGCCAGGAAATTAAAACTTGGCCACAAATGGGTCTTCCAAACAGACCATGACCCTAAGCATACTGCAAAATTAGTTCAAATGTGCTTTAAGGACAACACAATAAATGTTTTGGTGAGGCCATCACAAAGCCCTGATCTCAATCCTATAGAAAATTTGTGGGCAGAGTTGAAAGCTTGTGCGAGCAAGACAAAACAAAAATCTGACTCAGTTACACCAACTCTATCAGGAGGAATGGGATAAAATTCTTTCAAACTATTGTGAGAAGCTTGTGGAAGGATACCCAACACATTTACCAAAGTTAAACAGTTTAAAAGCAAAGCTAAAAAAATACCAAGGAAATGTATGTAAACTTTTGACTGTCTAGAAATTAATCAATTTTTAAAAAATGATCTCATTATTCTGGTATTTAGCAAATGTAAATCATTTAGGTAATCCTAACGGACCTAAAATAGTAAACATTTAGTATGATTGCATCAGACATTTAAAAAAATGGTTATGTTCCTTTTTTTAGAGTGTATGTAAACCTCTGGTTTCACCTGTATTTATTTGTCCACAGAACATGAATTTGTCATGGTTTATCTCAGAAATAAAGGTTCTGTTTTTACAAGAAGAATATTTCTACTGTGGAAAAAGTTATTTATGGTGGAAAAGGAAATTTTGATTAATAAAATCCCAGTAAGAAAAGTAATTTTTAAAAAGTACTGTTTAGTAGCTTCGTTTAAAAACCAAAACTGGTTGATCTACTGTATGGCATCACCGTGAAAGTTTCCACAAAACTTTAATTTGACTTAACTTAATTTATTATAATTTGAACTACAGTTCTTTTTGACAACAGTGTTTTCATAAAAAAAAAAAAAAAAAGTTTACATCCTTAGAATTTAAAAAAAAATATCATAAAATGGGTATAAATGTTCTCCAGATAAAAG